CTTCAATAATTTTTGAATACCTCATTCATCAAAGACTAAAATGTTGATGGAGCGTTAGTAAGGCCGAACGGCATCACCAGAAACTCGTAATGGCCATGATGAGTCCGAAAGGCTGTCTTCTCAATGTCTGGTGAATGTACTCGAACTTGATAATAACCAGATCGAAGATCCAGCTTAGTGAAGTACTGGGCACCATCAAGCTCGTCAAGCAATTCTTCAATAACAGACATGGGGAATTTATCCTTCACTATATTTTTGTTTAATTCCCTGTAATCAATGCACATCCGCCATAATCCATCAAACTTCTTCACTAATAAAACTGGGGCAGAATATGGACTCTGACTTGGCCGAATTATTCCTGCAGTAAGCATTTCTGACACAATTCTTTCAATTTTAGACTTCTGATAGTGAGGATAGCGATAAGGTCAAACTGAAATGGGTTCCAATTGTTTTAGTGGTATATTATGGTCATGGAGCCGTTGAGGAGGCAGTCCCACTGGTTCAGCTAAAAGAACACTAAATTCCTCCAATAGACGCTGAATTTGGGGGTGCAGCTCGGGAACCTTTGGTGGATTGGATCGATTGCCAATAATCTGTAGCAGGAATCCTCTTTTTATAAGCTTGACCATGTGCTCCATCTGATATGCTGAGACAAGTTGATTGTCTGGAACTGGTGAACCCTGCAAAATCACTTGCTTCCCATCTAAAATAAATGCCATGAATAGATTTGCAAAATCCCAGATAATCGGACCCAACGTTCGTAGCCATTGAGTTCCTAAGACTACATCATAGCCTTCCAGTGGTAAAATGTACAAATCAACAATGATTGAAACTCCTTGAACAAGTATTTAAGTTCGTTTACATTTACCTGAACTTATTAATTCTTCCCCTGAAGCTACGAGCACCTTCAATTTCTTGCCATTGGTTGATGCTATTCCAGTTTTCCTTGCAAATCTCTCACTCACAAAGTTGTGGGTGCTTCCTAAATCCACTAAGATTGTTCCAAACAGATTTGCCAATTTCCCGCTAAGTCGCATCGTGTCTGGACCTTCAAACCCGGAAATTGCATGTAAGGATATGGCTGGAACTTCTGCTGAATCGTGTTCTTCTATTTCCATCTCTGTATCCTCATCACTGTCTTCCAAGACTGCTTGAATTGAGAAGAGTTTTTTACATCTGTGACTAGGACCCAAACTTCTCATTGCATTTAAAGCATAATCCCTGTTTCTTCCTTTCATTGAGCTCATCCCAAGTCAGCCTCTTAATGTTATTTGTTGCTAGTTGACTAGTTACAGGTGAAGGGCGAGATGGTTGGAATGTTGGTCGGGTTGTTGTGGTGGTTCCCTTTCCCTGGGCAGAATTTCTTGCTTCATACAGTCATGCCAGTGCAATTGCCTCTGATAAGGTTTTTGGTCGATTGGCCTGCACATCTGTCCGTATGGACGTAATCAAACCGCTAACAAAACAGCCCACTTGCCGTGCTTGAGACAATTTCCCCACTTTGGCTAATAATTTCTCAAATTGGGTTTGGTATGCTTGGACAGTACCATGTTAATCAAACCGCTAACAAAACAGCCCACTTGCCGTGCTTGAGACAATTTCCCCACTTTGGCTAATAATTTCTCAAATTGGGTTTGGTATGCTTGGACAGTACCATGTTGTTGTAGTTTCGACAATTCTCCAAAATAGTCTATGAGTTGATTAGGACCGTACCGTGAATAAAACCCTTCTTTGAACTCTGCCCATGTGACAAAAGGATTTTCTTGTTTAAGTAATTAATACCATAATTGGGCATCTCCCACCATGTGGAAAGAAGCAATTTCGACACGTTCGACACGTTCTTCATCAGAGTGCGGTGGAATTGGAAGAATTGTTCTGCCCTGCAAATCCAGCTTGTGGGATCTTCCTTCTCATCGAAACGAGGGAAGTCCAGCTTAACCATTTTAGGAGCATATGAGGAAGTACTCCCGGAACTGGTAGGCTTCACTCTTGATTCAAGGGTTCGTACTTCAGATTCGACTCCTTTCCCATTAGAGGATTGGATAGCTAGTTGATCCATCTGGGAATTGAGTTGAGAGAAGAGCTCCTCCAGCCGTTTGGCAATGCCTTCCTGACCACCGGAAAGAGATTGAACTGATTGTTCAAGCAGCTCTACTCTCTGATCCATGCCAAAGCTCTGATACCACTTTGGTACAAACTGCTTTCTACCCCTTGAACCTATGCTGGGTTTAATGAAAAAAAGAAAATAATAAGAAGAAGGTTTTATGGTGGAAACCAAGGCCTCTACATTAGAAACGTATTTTGATGATTTTAACTGATTCCTTGGGTCTGTTATTCATTAAGCTTATATAGCCAAAGCAAGCTAACAACTCAACTGATTACAAGGAAACAAACTCTGCTATTTTACAGCAACTAAAATCAAAGCAGAGATCTTTAACAAACTTATTCAAATTTAATAAAAAGAAATAATTAAAGGTCACGTGACAGTATTATTACACTCGTTCCGAAACTTATGAATTTAAATATCCATGGGTATCCATTATTTATAGATATCAATGGTATTCATTATCCATAAATACCGTTTATCTACTATTATTTAAAAAATAGATTATATTAAATTAAAAAAATTATAAGTATTTATCCAAATGATTTACAATACATACAAAAAATATGAAAATAATTTAATAAATAAATAAATGTTCGAAAAATAATAAATTAAAATTTTAATTTCAAAATTGTTCTTATCGTAATATTTAACTCAAATGTAATTATAATATTATAAATAATTTATATTATTAAAAAGAAGATAAATTAAAGGTGCACGTGACAGTATTATTACACTATAACGGTCTCCGGAAAAACTTATGGAATTTAACAATAATCCGCATAAGGGGTAATCCATTTATATAAGATAACTACAATGGTGACTTCATCTAATTCCATAAATACCGTTTATCTTACTATTATTTTTAAAAAAACTAGATTATTATTAAGATTAAAACAAATTATAAGATATTTCATCCAAATGATTTACAATTACATTACAAAAAATAATTGAAAAATAATTAATGAAATAAATTAAAATGTTCGAAAACAGATAATATAATATAATAAATTTTAAATTTTCCAAAATTGTTCCTGTATCGTAAATATTTAACTCAAAGCCTGGTCACATCTTTGGCGCTATCAAACTTGCATAAATCAATTTTATATTACTAAAAAATCCTTAGACTATTCATATCAAAATATAAAAACAAGATAAACATTTATGAAATAAGTTAAAAATAAAAATAACTTTTAAAGGATGAGTAATTAATAAAGTATTGATACAAAGTTGGACAGACTATTACATAAGGACGACTACATATGACTTTAATCATAATTCAATTGTAGAATGTTGTACGTCCTTTAGAACAATTTTTTACATTTACATCAAGTGTTAGAATTTTCAATACACAATATCAGAACTCTATAGTAACATTAACATTATTTTCTATGATTACTATCAAAAAATGGAGGAAACTAGTATTAGCTAGTATTCTCATAATTGAATGTATTTTATCTAATCGACCTTCATCGTTAATAGAAAAGCAGCATCATTTATAATTTGGTTATTTTTTTATATTCATTTTTTTTAACTTTCCTTACTAAACGTCGTATATGAATACAGCTATTAATTCTCAACATTTTTTGCGTTCTGCTTTTTTTTTAGCAAAAAAAATTCGGTTAAATTTAAGTACTATGGTCTTCCTAAAAATTAACTTATGTTAGTATCATCAATTGCTATTATCTATAATAAGATATTTGTTCTAGACAAATATTGTTAATTTTCTATATTATATTCAAATACAATATGCAATTTATGACTAAAATCATTACTATATTCCCTTAATAAACTATAATAAATTATATTAATTTTTTAAAAATAAAGTATATTTGTAAGACCACAATCAATTATAACCCGCATAGTCTCTTCAAAGGTGTATTAAAAATAATAATTTTAATTAAACCATATTAACATACTTGCTTATAATCATATTTTACAATATGCTGGCCAATTTCTATATTAGTACCACTTACTAAGATAATCCCTACAAAATTACAGATCTATCATTCTTCTTATTCGTCCTTCAACCAACTATAAAGGACTAATTAGCGTATAATACCATCATTTCTCAACTATTATAACCATTGTTATAACCTTCGTAGTAATAACCATTAAACTAGTTAGTATCTACGCACTATTACTAAGTTATTTGTAGAAAATAATTATAACCGATTAGCTTAAAGGTGTATTAAAAATAATAATTAATTAAACATATTATATTTTTATCATATTTAATATGTGCTTTATATAGTACATATAACCTATCAAAATTAAATTACATTTATTGTTTCAACCACTTAAAGATATTATATACCATATTTAATATATACTTTACTTAGTATCCATTAAATAGTATTACCATATTATATTATATTACCATACATGTATATATTATGTTACCATATTATGTGTATATTACCATATTTAATGTTACATACCTTAATTAATATTATATTATATAATTTCAGTTTCAAAACAGCCGATGAAGCCAATTATATGACAGTTATAAGAAAAGTATAACTAAATAGTTTATCATATTTTATATAAATCTTATATGGTATATAATATAATTTCTTATTTTATATATTAAAATTTAAATTTAAATAGAAATTTAATATAACTAATCAAAATTAAATTATCTTTATTTTTTAAAACAATCAAATTAAAATTTTTTAATGCTACTTTTATCAATTATAAATTTAACAGAGTATTTTTCTCAATCTCAATGTCCCCCGTCTGAGTCATTTCCATTCACCAATCCCCGTTGGTCTATCTCTAATAATACTGGAAAAATTGTATCTCTCTCTATATATAGATATTCCCAAAATGATTTGTAATTGCCAGGTAATATATATTTGTTAATGATTGAGAGAGGATTAAACCTATCTTCTAAATGGAGTGGAGACAAAATGAATCAGCTTGGAGCATTGGGTGCACCTTATATGGCCACCTCATTAATTGATAGTAGCAAGCTCTAGATCTCCCATATCTCCCACTCAAGATCTCTGTCCCCTCCTCATTCATTTCTTTTTCTTTACAAGGACAAACACACCCACACACCCTCTTCTTCTTCCTTCTGCCAAATTAAACCTCTCTCTCTTTCCTTATTTTTTCTCTTACATATGGAAACATGTCTGTTATTTCCTTTTATACTAAAATCACTTGCGGGTTGAGCTTTTATATATAGCCAGCTAGCTAGGGTTTTTACAGATTCTTTGCTGAGATGAAGAATATGGAATATTATTATTGGGTTTTGATAGGTTTCTCCATTTTTGTGGGATATTGCTGGTTTTTGTTCAAGAAAGAGAACGAGAAGAAGAAAAAAATATTCAAGAAAAGTGAAGTTCCCAAAGGAAACTTGGGTTGGCCTTTTCTTGGTGAAAGTTTAGATTTCATTTCTTGTGGTTACACTTCTCGACCTGTTAGTTTCATGGAGAAGCGCAAATCTTTGTAAGTTAAAACTTCTTCTTTGATTTTTCTTTTTTCTTTATCCTTTCTCAACATTTTCTTGATCTCTCTGTTTTTGTCTTTGTATAATCATATTCCACAAGGGTCAATCAATCAATCAATCAATCTTTTCTTTTTAATCTTCACTGATCAAAATCACTTCATTCTCTTAATTGTATCATTAATCATGCATGGTTCTTTTCCTTATTGCTGATCATTCTTGTTAATTTTTCATTAACTATAAATATGTGTTTATTGCAATAATAAAAATATTTCTTTGTGAGAATAAGTCTAATACTCAAGTTTTTATATTTTTTCTTGAAAGAAATTTCAACATATAAAAAAAAAATAATTTTCTCTCTGGAAAAAGTTGAGTTTTAATTCCAGTTTAAGCCTAATTAACATAAAAAAATAAAAGCTTTTCTCTTTCCTTTTCACTTCATAATCAACCAATTGCATATTTTTAAGAGAATACCATATTAAAATAGATTGCATGTATGTCATTGACATTAACAAAATAGTATATATCTATAGAAACACACACACACACACACTGCATAAATGATTATGATCATCACTAATTTGTTTGTTTGTTTTTTCTATATATGATAATGATTTTTTATATTTATCCAAAAGATAGTGATGGTGGGATGCACTGGTGCTGATGATGATCATCACATATAATGTTTTTCTCTATTAAGATATATAAATCCTTGAAAATTTTAAAAATTTTTTATATAAAAAAATTAAATAACATTCTTCTAATTATTAGATCCATAACCATGCATGTACAGTAATTATTATTATTTTTTAAAATAAAAATAATAAGTATGCATTAAAGTTTAATATAAATTGCTTAAGATTTACCTTTTTCATCATTATTTTCTTAGTGAGTCAATGAGATAATAAAAAATTGATGGTCAACCATATATATATTGCATATAAGAATCATGCAATGGAAGGAATAATCCCTCTTTTTTTAATATATATTATCAATAACCACTGCCATGATCTACAGTAAATTATTATTATTTTTAAAAAATAATAATAAGTACTGCATTAGAGTTTAATATAAATTGCTTAAGATTTAACCTTTTTCATCATTATTATTGCTTAGTGTCACGTCAATGAGATAATAAAAACAATATTGAATGAGTCAACCATAAATAGCTATATTGCCATATAAGCACATCCATGCAAGGAAGGAATCAATCCCTCGTTTTTTTTCTTAATATATTATATATTAGTATATATATACTATTAATACTATAATACTCATTAGAAGCAATGTGAGTTAATGAAAATAACAACATAGGGTAAATTTCTACAACAATTTAAAATAACTTAATTTAGGTAGAATTTAATATTATTATTGACCTTACATGTATCTCCTCTATTATATAGAAGCAATTATTAATGAAATAAAATAGTAAATTTTAAACAATTTAAAATAACTTAATTTAGGTAGAATTAATATTAATTATTGACTTACATTATCTCCACCAGATCTAATAAATTAATAATCTCTGAAAAAAGTGCTAAAAGTTAATTTAATTAATTAGAAAGTGACATGATTACTTAATATTCCAAGGCAGTTGCTAACAACCAGCCAACCAACCTTATTAAAGATTCACATTCTAATAATACACCATATTTAGGGAAAATAAAATTAAAAAAAAAAAAAAGAAGAAGAAGAAGAAGAAGAAGAAGAAAGAAAGAAAGGAAAATTTACTGCTACTGAGAAAGGATGTGACAATATATAAATAGTAAAAACTTGCAGTAAAAAAGCCTGTGTAGCCTTAGCTAGGTACTGTAACTGGTATTGCTTGTGCAGTCAGTAACCACAGCCTATGTCTCCATCGTTTTCATCAGCTTTCTAGTGATATGACCATTTCCCTTTATTGATCATCCTGCTTTATCCTTCCAATGAATAAAAAAAGTTAAAAACTTAAAATCATAGTAATATTACACAAAATTAAATATTTTTTTTCCATCTGCATTTTTACATTATTAATTATTTGTAATTTTGAAATAGTTATAACATACTTCAATTATCTAATTTGCAAAGTAGTTTAAAAATTAGCACTAATTGCTTTTTATTAGTTTAAATCTAGTTTTAGTCTCTCTTATAGTAGAGATTAAGAGTTTTAAGAGGTGGAAAATGCTTTGTTTTGTCTTTTTTTTTATTTTAACTGTGAAATTCAGTAGTTGGACCAATTCAGATTTGCATGAGTAGGTTCCCTATTGAGTGTTTAGAGAATCATACTCAAAATTCATTAGCTGTCTATTTTTTAGTGAAAAGATATTACTATCCTTATTTGTGTCAATTATCCTTACTAAATTTTTGCATCATAAAAAATAGTTTAAACTATTACTTAATTGTTTAGAATTTTTACTTAAATTCTAAAGTATTAATTGCATTTTTAAACAATATTTCAACATTAATGTAAAATAATCTTTTTAATGGCCTTTTATATATATTTTTTTTTTCTGTGAACAGATATGGGAAGGTGTTTAAAACACATATTCTTGGAACACCAATCATAGTATCAACAGATCCAGAAGTGAACAAAGTGGTATTACAAAACCATGGCAATGTGTTTGTTCCTGCTTATCCTAAATCAGTAAGGGAATTATTTGGAGACTTTTCTATTCTTCAAATGACTGGAACTCAACATAAAAGACTCCATGCACTTTCTGCTGGTTTCTTGAGATCACCACTGCTTAAATCAAAAATTACCAAAGACATTGAAGTTTCTGTCAAACAAGCATTAGCTTCTTGGCAAAACAAGCATCATGTACTTCTCCAAGAAGAAATAAAAAAGGTCTCTCTCTGTCTCTCTCTCTCCATTATTTTTAGGGTTCCCTTGGGATTGAACTAAAATAGATGATTTTATTAGTCTAACGAATGTAGGTTTATAAATGAGTTGAGTGGATTCGAGCCGAGTTCTGTTGAGTTTATTTAGTCATATAATTCTAAAATTTTTGACTTTGCTTTGTGGAATTCTCATCAGGTTACATTTCAAGTTCTGGTTAAAGTAGTAATGGGAATTGGTCCAGGTGATGAGTTGGACTTCCTGAAGAGAGAATTTGAAGAGTTTATGAAAGGGTTAATCTGCTTACCAGTCAAACTTCCAGGCACAAGGCTATATAAATCTTTGAAGGTAAAACCAATATTAGAAGAAACACCTAGCTAGCTGGTTTTTATCAGTGTGTTTCTTGAACATAATGATTGGAGCAACAACCCCTTAAATCTAAATAAATGCAATTTAAAATCTGAAAATTATAATATATCAGGAGAGGTTTATTTATCTACTTTATTATATTTTCCTTGGGGAGGTATTTTCTTAACAGCATCGAATCATTTAAAGAGAGAAATTAGTATCATTTGATGTTTATTAGATTTGTCTATTGTAAGTTGAGCTTATATCACCTTCATTCATGTCTGAGTATCGACATTTAGACATTTAATAACCTTCTTGATTTAGCGGTTCTAGTTAGCTGTTGATAATTAATTATTCTAAATCAATTACTGAAAGCTGAATGCTAAATAAATATTCCAAAATTTCTGGGTCAAATAGTTATTTAAGTGTTTAAAAATGATTGTAATAGCGTGGTTAGGTTTCTTATTATATAGTTTGTCTGTTTGATCGTTCAGGCCAAAGAAAGGTTGTTGAAGATGGTGAAGAAAATTATAGAGGAAAGGATAATAGCTATGGAGAAATATGAAGGCAAGGGTATTATAGTTAACGACGTTATAGACTTGCTTTTACGTGACAATGGTGAAGAAAACGAGAAGCAATCTCCACTGTTGGATTACATCTGCAGTAATATTATAGAGATGATGATCCCAGGAGAAGAAACTATGCCTACGGCTATGACCCTGGCTGTCAAATTCCTCAGTGACTGCCCTGTCGCTCTAAACCAAATCACGGTAAGTCTTTAACTAAACCTTCTAATATCATCCACCGTAGGATAATGCATTTTTGGCTTTTTCATCCAACGGCTAGGATTATTAGTGGGCCCCACTTGATTATGCCCGCTTCACGACACATTTTTGAAGTGTTTGACTTTTTCTGGCAAGTCGTTTTCATTAGACACACGTGAGTACGTGTGAGGGTTATGGGACCCATGTATTTTGTGTGGGATGTTCCTAACCGTACGATTTGAGATTGGATGGTTGTCTCGGGTGAGGACCACGTCTTAATTCGGTGTCTGTGAGAGTTGAGACCAACATAGCTTTGGTGTGATCGTTCGAAATCGCTATCAGCAGTAGTCTCTTCGAGAATGCCTTTCTTTTCCGGTGTCTGACGTTTACCCGTACTTATGTCTCCATTATTTTTATAGGTTTTACCAAGTTACTTTCTCCTTTTTTTTTTTTTTTTTTTTTTCGGCTATAGAGACAATTATTAAGGTGAGGACCACCACTATAGATAATTATGCCCCGAACTTCAGTCGCAAACAATTTTCTGAAAGCTAAGTTTGGACATTTTCTGAGACACAAAGTCCGATATTCAGCATTACGACACACGATGAAGACGTGTCGAGAGAAGTTAATATGGACCACTGGTATTTATGGAGGTGTAGATGTGTCCGTGAACCGTACGATCTTGGAGGAAGTTGGAATAATCTGAGTCTTGTCTCATGGGTGGCATGGGAGCAAGCGTTACTTAATCGTCAGAAGTTGAGCTTATGTCTGGTGAACGCAGCTCTGAGAGACAACTCTCTATAACATAAGTCTTGGTCTCATCTGATATCGGCAACCATCGTCTTATACATCATCACTCCAAGTAGATCGTCCCTCAGAGTTAATGCTCTCGTATCTTTCCGCTACGTGGTGCGTCATGACGTTACCGTATACTATAGTTTGTCCATTTATTTTTTGATACCGGTATTTACCAGAGGTTACCCTTTCTCCTTTTTTTTTTCTTATTTTTATTTTTTTTCCTTTTATTTACTATACGACAGGTTTGCAGATTTGCCAGTATTAAGTTTTCATTTATCCGATTTTCTATTAATTATATTGCTAGTAAATTTTTTGCTTTTTACTTTTTTTTTTTTTTTTTTTTTTTCCTTTATTTATATACGCGTTTCAGATTGCAGTTTATTTTCATTTATCCGATTTTCTATTAATTTTATATTGATAAATTTTTTTTTTTAATAAATGAATCAGGCTTCTCATGAATTTTTAGAAATTTGAATTAGAAAAAAATTCGTTCATTTTTTAATTTTTTTTTTTTTTTTTAAAGAAAGGAACTGAAGTTTATTTTACTTATGGAATTTATTTAATAAATAAGTAAAATTCGAGTTCAAGTTTAAATATATAGCAGAGTAATTTTTTTAATTTATAAAAGTAAATGAATCAAACTCGAATTAAAAGAAATATAGAAGCTTCGAAACAGATTATCCACACACGTTGAAATTGTTTTGCTACTAATTCTTAATTTTAGATGTAAATTTTATAATTGTAGATTGTGAAAGATGTCATTTAAATAGAATTAATTTCCACTTTTCAGCATATGTAGGTTTGTTTGTGAGGGTCCATAGGTGATGGCAAACAAAGGAAAATTCAAATTTTAATTTAGGGTAAAATTGAAATTTTTGACATAGAACCAAGTTGTTCCGCAATACAAATTATAGGGACCTATTGTCTAATATTTAAATAGATGTTTTGATGGGTGTATTTGACTATAATTTAAAAATTAAATAATAATTTATGGATAGACTTTTCTTTAATTTATTAAATTGGTGAAAATTCTCGTGGTCGGGACAACACCAACTAGACTACACTTTTATTATTATTATTATTATTATTATTATTATTATTAAATAGCATATAGCAAGAACAATGTGAAGCAGAAAAACAAGCATAAGTAGTCAGGACTGGCTAGCTAGTTATGTCAGGAATTTGCATAATGTAGTAACAGTCATATATATATATAGTTTGCTGAACATTAAAAAATGAAAAGAAATAGGTGAAAATTAATAATTCTTGGTAGCTCTATGCTGTGCATGTACTTATGTACAAATCAGGAATTTTTTTTATAATAATATTTATATTATCATTGCATATATGTAGGAGGAGAACATGGAATTGAAGAGGCAGAAGGCTGAATCTTGTGATGATTACAATTGGACCGACTATATGTCCTTGCAATTCACCCAAAATGTAAGTCTTAAATTGTGGAAATTGAGTTGCAAAATGTGTTCATTTCAGTAATATATATTATAATAATAATTAAATTCTCTGACCGTTTTTTAAATATTAAAAAAGAGATTCAAATCTGAATTTATTATCAATTCATATGCGCACTTATTACAACTAATTATTTGTGACATGTGAAATTAGGTGATTAGTGAAACTCTTAGAATGTCAAATATCATTAATGGAGTTTGGAGGAAAGCTAACAAAGATGTAGAAATTAAAGGTAAGTGTCCCTACGCCACACCTTGTTTTTTTTTTTTTTTTTTTTTTTAGTTTTGGAGGAAACCCGCTAACAAAGATGTAGAAATTTAAAGGTAAGTGTCCCCTACGCCATCACCTTGTTTTTTTTTTTTTTTTTTTTTTTCAACTGAATGTATGTTATTTTATTTATCCATATTTTCTTTTTTTTTTAAATTAAAATTTTTTTTTTTTTTTTTTTTTTTTCAACTGATGTATTGTTATTTTATTTATCATATTTTCTTTTTTTTTAAATAAAAAATCTTAAATTGTTAATATGCACTAAAATATTGTAGGACCACGTATCAAATAATAGAATGAATAAATAAATAAATGGGGAGATAAATAGCAACATTATGACTCATAACGGCAGCTGCATGTGCAGCTTTTCAGTTCGTTAGAATTCATTATGTGCATGTTTGTGTCGTGGCACATGGTATCCTTTAAAGAGTCTTAGGCGATGTAAGTAAAACAAGAAAGACTAACTCAACAGGGAAGTGTATAGCATCACTAATTCTAATTTCCGAGAAGTAGAATGAAAAGAAGGTTCGTTCGAGATAGTTAAGGAGGTTGTACTTCTCTAATTAAATATAATAAATTTATAAATTTATTTTATTATCTAAATAGGTTTGAATTTATATTATAAATATTATCGTAATTTGTAATTTAAAAGTAATTTACTTTTTATAAAGTTGATTTATATATCTAACACATTCAAATTATATTTACCGTAATATAATTTTCTTAGAAGCGTCTTCTTAAAAAGTATACTTCTTAGAAAATAGAATTTTTCGAAACAAAAGCTACTTATCATAATATCACTATTGGAAAAATAAATAAATAAAGATATTTTAGGATTAAAATAATCTTATTTATAGACCATAATTGTAATGATTTTCAGGCAATTTTATTCCAGAAGGATGGTGTGTGTTGGCATCATTTATTTCTGTTCATATGAGCAAAGAAAATTATGAGAACCCTTATCAGTTTGATCCATGGAGATGGGAGGTAAATTATTTTTACAATTGGTTCTGCTATTCTCTCCTTTTTTTAAAAATAAAATTTTCATATCGCCTCAGAGTCTAGGTATTATTTAATTTTCAGAATATTTTATTATTTTAATTTTTAATTTTTTTTGGCTGAAAATGGAGTAAATTGATACAAAACTCCAAATTATAAAAAGCATGTCCTGGATTGCAGAAAACAGGAGCTGCTGTTAATAACAACTGCTTTACACCATTTGGTGGTGGACAAAGACTATGTCCTGGATTAGAACTATCAAGGCTTGAACTTTCGATATTCCTTCACCATCTTGTCACTACTTGCAGGTAATTTTTACATTTTTTTTTATTATTAGACAAACAAGACCCTCTCTGCGGTAAAAAATAAGGAATTAGCGATAAAATTTTTATGGTAATTTCTTTTTTTTTTTTTTTTTCTTGTAATGAATTGACTTGGAGAAAACTCAATTTTTGTATCACTTTTGCAGATGGACAGCTGAAAATGATGAAATTGTTTACTTTCCAACGGTCAAGATGAGGAAGAAGCTACCTATCACAATCACAACCAGAGACTCTATCTCCATTAATTAACTTCAGTGTTAATGCTCCTTTGGCATTAAATTTATTGCTAATAGCAGAATTATTTATAGGTTTTATTTAAAAAAAAAAATGATTCTTTATAGTTTTTGAAGTGAAATATGCTATTGATAATAGAAAAAGTAAATTCTCGTTGAGGAAAAATTTTATGTGCCTATAGTTTATAGTAAATAAACAAAAAAATTATGAGAAATTTTCTTAATCTAATTGTTGCAGATGTTAATTTGCAATATGAGTTTTTATAGGCTTATAGCTCATTTTAGAAAAATTTTTTATTTAACAAAATTAGTTTAGGCTCATAAAACAATATTACTATAGAGAGAGGCCTCAATATATTGCATATATTATATAATACAATATACAAATTGAATAATGATAATTACCGTAAATATAAAGATATGTGTGTCTGTTTTTTTCTTTTAAACCACCGGTATCCGGACCCTATTATCAGGAACCGCCTGATTCAGTTTGGAGCTTAGTCACAGTTAAGACTCTTCGCTTCTCCGTGTAAGTGTGTCTATTAGAGATTGAATTTAAAAGTTGTTTTCACATGTACAGCCTGTATAATAGAAAAAAGAAGTGACAAATCAATAATAAGGAGTGATTACATATATTTTTTTATGTACAGCCAGCAATGATTTTTCATTATTAGCTTATAATAGACAAGTATTTTTCATTTGGATAATTTAACCCTTTGCTATTAAAATTCACTATAAATCTGATATTTGTAGTAACAATACAAAACTGTCCAATTAAGTAAAATTTCATGTGCATCTAATTCATAACCAAAATAAAAAATAGTTGAATACATTATTTAATCCCATAAGTTTTAAAAAAAAAAAATTATAGGATCTTAAATTTTAAAATCGACTTTGTGACACCTCAATTTCTCTTTTTGTAATAATTTCATAAATCGGTTTTAGCTTTCATATATAAAATAGTGATTTGATATGTAGTTATTGATTAATACAATTTTTGAAATAATAATTTTCATATATTTCAATTGTCCAATAAATGTTTAATTGATCTAATTTTATAAGTTAAAATGTTCATTAGATAAATTAAAGTGTTTAATAAGTGCAATTTTATAAGTTGAAGTGTTAAATAGGTCAAAGTGAAAGTTTAAAGTGTAACAAGATTTTTCGTAAAAAGTACAGAGGTGAATTTCTATATCGAGCCAAATAAAAATATAAAAGCTAAGGATAGACATGAGTAGACAAATGCATGAGGGTGGGATGCCACAGCATATGCATGCAGGCAGCTAAACATGTATAGAACATATAGAAAGAACAAGGACTCCATATTATTAAGAGTTAGTTCTTGTGTCACTGTCTTTCTTATTTCTCTTGTAAAATGGGCCCATAAATATTTAAGTTCTTGCAATGCAAGTGGGTATTATTATGATTTTAAGATAACTCTCATATCTAAGTCTCAGAGTACACTAAATTTCTTGTTTGATTTGATAGCAACACTTGTGGTGATTTTTATCAGCAAAGAGGGTCACTTTGCTTTGATCCTATATGGTGGAGGAAGAGGAAGATGAGGTACCCTTTTTTCATACATGTATATAAAACCTCTCCTTTTAGTTATATTTGAGTTGGTAGAGACTTATTATTACTAGTAATTAGTAATAGTACACTATTAATAGTCTGTTCGGAAAAATTAGTTGTTTTAATAGCGTTTAGCCGTTAGCTATTCGAGTAGTTTTCATGAAACATTAAAAGTTAAACGTTGTGTGAGTTAATTTTTTAAAAAATGTTACCTTAATTTTTAAAAGTTAGTTCAAATGCTATGTTCCCGAATATTATAAAAAACACAATTTATATCTCTTCTACTGAATATATAGGGCCATCTTTTTTTTTTTTTTAATAAAATGGAATGCTATTTTCGTAATAGAATTATGTAGTTTTATTTAGTAGTGGAAAAAAGATTTGGCCAAAGTGAATTTAATTCCTTTCTAATTTTTTATTTGGCTCTTATTATCTTTTTGATGGGTACGCTCACTTGTCCTCTGGTCTTGCTGCTTGTGGCGTTGCTGGAATGGCAATTGGTATTGTTGGTGGTGTTTGAAACAACACGATTACTTTGAAATTACCCAATCTTTTGTTTTCCAGATTAAATCCTAACAGTGCGTGAAAGATAAAAGCTCAGAGATATTTTTGATATATTTAATTTCTATCATCATAGTGTACGTTGACTTGTTTTTTGAAAGTGAAAAAATAAACGGAAAGGGGTATTTAGGACCTATTCTCTCTGTATTCTCTATAATTTTCTTTCCTTTTAGGCTCCTGCATCTGAGCTTTCTGCTTCTTTGCCCCTAACTGGTCGATTTCAAAAGCAAGACATTAGATTTCGAATCAGAAGAGCTGAGGAAAATCAGACTGACAGAAAGGACTTCTCATTCGATTCGATCAATGACATAAATAATTGCTATTCCATATGAAAGTTGATAAAGCTCGGTATAAATGAATTTCATAAATAAATGCATACATCCTTATCAACAAACGCATAGGTTATAGTTAAGATAAAAGCTATCATAAAGAGTTAGAGCTGCAGAATCTTCTCATTTTAAATAATGAGCTTCCCCTTTTTGGTACATCAATCCCTTTTTCATAACCACCAAAACTTAGCACAAAATTTAACCGACGAAGATCCCAAACCCACCTAATTATGGAAGTTACTTTAACTTTGCAACATCCTGAACTTTAAGAATGACTTATCGTGCACTTAAACTTATAAATTTTAGTAATATTACATACTTTCGATATTAATATCAATAATTTTTAAAATTTTTAGCTTTTATCTATAAAATATCGACTTAATATGTAGTTACCATGACTTTTGGAATAAAATTTTTTATAAATTTTAACTTTTTAATGAATACTTAATTGAATTAATTTTACAAATTAAAGTGTTTAATAAAATAATTTTATAAATTAAAATGTCTAATCACTGTAGTTTTATAAATTGAAGTGTTTTATAGATCAAAATAAAAATTAAACATATCATAAAATCAAAATAACAAAATTAAGGAGCGAATTTATGTATTCACCCATTTAAAATTTTTATAAACCGACAAGCGCATGGCCGTCAACCCATTGGGCTCATGCAACTATACATTCTTAAATAATTGGCAAAAGGCTAAAAAGATAAAAATTTACTCATGTAATTGTCATAAAAAAAATCTTTTGGCTCTTTTAACATTTATGAAAGACATATTTTACTTCTAAATTTATGAATTTTAATAATATTGCACACATTGGTGGATTCAGAAAATTTTTCCAGTGGAACATAACATGAATACTAAACAAAATATTTCCAATCAACATATTCTAGAGGGAGCACTTTTATCAATTCAATGGATACAAATACATAAATATCCATAATGTCCTAGATAAATTTGTAACGTCCTCCAACTGACCATAAAATGGATCCACCTCTAATTACACACCTCCCCATACTAAAAACTAACAATTTTTAAAGTTGAAAAATATTGACTTTGGTTTAAAGTATTTAATAAAAATGATTTTGCAAATTTAAAGTGTTTAATAGATAATTTTATAAAACGATTAATAAAATAATTATGGAAGACCTATTTACCCTTCAACTTACCAATTTTACACACTTATTGCGATTGTTTACACTAATTACAACAATTTGCAGGATATTTGTCTTTCATATGCAAAGTACTGATATCACGTGTGATTAGTAGAATCTTTAGAACAATAATCTTCGCATTTTTTAAGTATCTAATGTTACAAGATAGAACATTTAATAAACAATTTTTATAATTTGAGGGGCACAAATCCATGCAAAGTTTAACGTGTCATACAGTTGAACCTTCAAAGTTTTAGAGGTATTTTTATGTATTTGGCCGGAAATAGAACTCACATACTTTATAAACAAAAGACTTTCATTATACATAGCATTCCCTCTATCACTTTACGAAGGAATTGCTTCCAAAAGTCAAAATATGTGACTGGAAGGAATATTACCGTTGTGCTAAGACTCACCCTCAACATATTAAGGCTTGATGATAAACAAATTCATGAAAATATAATTTTGACATTGATTACATATCCCATTAATGTATGGCGATGCACATGAAAATATGAGAGATAGGCATGATGGGGATATGGTAAATGAAGATGACGCTTTAGATGGGGATAGGGTAAAATGATGATGCAGATGGAGAAATAATGGAAGGTGTAGATCGGAAATGTTCTGATGATGAAGAAGAAACCTACCAGGACTTTGATGAACTTACTGGGACGAGAGATCCTCAGTTGTGCAAAGGTATAAAATTTACTAGTTACTTGCACTGCGATATTGAAAAAGTAAGCAGACCTCCAATTTTCCGATTTAAGACTTTTAAGCCCGTTCATTTCTGTCCAAGAGACTTCCACAACAACCTAGTTAACTCAAAATATTTGTTTGAGAAACACCATGAGAATTTAAGGAAAAATCTCACATTGGAAGTGAAAGCTATGCAAAAAAGAATTCGAAGGCAACTAGGGGCTCGAGTGTCAATTGCTGCATGCTATAGGGCAAAAAGAAAGGCCAATACTGTAATTGATGGAGATTTTAAGGGACAATGTAGAAGGACATGGGATTATGAAGCAACAATAAGGCTGTATAATCTTGGAAGTTGGGTTAAAGTAAAATGTGATCAGGTGTTGAAGAGCCTTATATTTGATATGTTTCTTGTTGCCTTATTTGCAAAGGGATTGGTGGAAGCAATTAATGAGTTGATGCCAATTGTTGAATATAGATTCTATGCGAAGCATATATGAGAACTATAAAAAGCAATTCAGCGCATTAGAATACAAAATGAGATTATGGAGAGATGCTGGAAGAGGAACTGAAAAACCATTAAAGTATCATATGGGAAAGCTGATGGAATTTGATGAGAGGGCTCAAAAATGGTTAATTGATCACAATCCTAATTCTTGACAAGGGGCAAATTTCTCACCACATACCAAAATCAGATGCTTCACAAAACATTTGTGAGTCATTCAATTCATATCTTGGAGTTGATACAGGAAAATTCTAATCCATTTAGACCATCAAGAGTTGCTGGAACTGGAATTTGCAGTGTGACACCAAGGTCAACTGCCCAAAAGTCAAATTGACAAGCTTCAAGGCCACCTTCAAATGTCACAACAGATAAAGTTCCAAGCCAGGGCAAGCAGCAAAACTAGTGACTGGTGCAGCTAAAGTTGAGGCTGGTTCAATTGTTACTCAGTGTGTCTGGTGTATCTGTGCATGTCTAGTGTTTTTGCAGGTGTGCCTAATCTAAGTACCGGCACAAATTACAGGGAGCAGTACAAGAACTTCAGGTGTGTCAATTTTTGCTAGTATACCCACTAGCAATACAAGAACTTCAGGGAGCAGTGAAATTGTTTCATCTTCAAAATCTTGTGGACAAATTGATGCACCCTAGGGATTCGACAATCAAAATCATTTAAAGAAATAACATAAAATCTCTGCGCATGTTCTCACTTGTCCATTCAATCCTCACAGGCGATATAAGATCACATTCATACATTTTTTAGTACATCATATTCCCAGTGATCCAACTTCACAGTATTCTTCCTTAAACAAAATTCAATATGCAATGTAGTTCATCAAACCACTGCAACATGAACGTCATATTGTTATGAAACAGTGCAAACTGTTATTTTTATACGTGCCAGTTAAAATATGTTAAACAAATCATCAAAGATTAACCAATAAAGTTTAAGATGATTCAAGAAACAAGGTGTGACCTGTTATTTTTATATGTACCCGTTAAAATATGCTAAAAAATTCATCAAGACTAACCAATAAAGTGTATATGATTCAAGAAACACAAACCTTTCTGAAGGCATCGTGCTGCTTTATGCACCTCTTCTCATTTCTTCTCTTGACAGTCCCTTCAATAGTAGATTGACCTGGTACATGCTTAAACCAAGCATATGGTCCTGCATTTCTTTATCAAATTAAAATTTGTTTATCTAAATTTAATACTATTACACAGTATGTAATGAAAACTATAGGCAAAATAACCTAAGACTGTCCAATGCCCTAAAAAGCCCTATGAATAAAATCGGGGCCCTACCTGCTGTGATTAAGGTTGGCTTTGGGTTTTGATAGTGTCAAAAGTGCATTCAACAAAAATCTAATGCCATTAGAATTTTTATGGTGCCGACAGTGCATACCACCTGTTAAAGCTAATGGAACAAGAACCTTTCTGTTTCCATTTGAATTAACCTCTAAACTCCCCCTCTTTGCTGTTTTGATTCTCCCAAACCCAAGGTTTTGAGTTTTTCAGCTTTCCTGATCTCACAGGATCGATTATTATGACAGGCATCAGCCATCCATCATTGCAGTTAACTTAGCAAATAAAACACATAAATCATAAATATAAAAGCTGTGCCATGATGTTTAAACTGTTCACACTTCAAATTATAGCGTTTTAACCATTAGTTTGGAAACTAATTGAATAATTAATTGCTTGTTAAGAACTAATCTCATACTTCATCATTATTTTTCGTTTCGCTATAATTATCCCAATTCTTGAAGATATCCTATCCTCTGTTTCTTTGGCATCCATACAAAATGAGGAAAAGCAAAATCTAATGTAGCAATGATGAAGATACAGAATGTATTGAGTCAGTATTATTACCTTACTGAGATGAGCTCCAAGCATCAGCAAATGCTCCACTTTCAGCATTGCTTCATCTTGTTCAGCCATGAAAATAGACTCCAGCTCGATTGAGCAAAGCAAGCAAGTTTAGTAACTCCTCATTAGACAGTTTTGAAGGTCTCTTAGCTTCAAAACCATGAGCTTTTAGAACTTCGATGATCTTCTTCTTGTACGAGCTCAACTCCATTTCTGAGTCAGAACATGGATCAAAGCCTTCTTTGTCGCTCTCCTCTCCTTCATCATCGTCAACAAATTCACAGTTGCTATTAGTGACCCCATATTTATTAGGGGAGTCCTTCATTTTAGATAATCTAAATAGCTCAATAATCTTTTTCTTCTGCTTAAACATTGCTGCCAAGGTTTTATTTTTATTGGTAAAGCAAGTTCTTGTGAATGCCCGCCATTCGTCAAGGTTTACATGTGGGATTTGTGCTTTAGGACGGATAATGACTACCGAGGAATCAACTTTTGGACATGGAAGAAAATCCCTCTTGCTTACATCCATAACAAACTCCACTTCAGCTACCAACTTCACGTTCACGGCCAATCTGTTATACTCTGAATCACCAGGATTAGCCAATAATCGCCGAGCAAACTCTTTCTGAAGTAAAAGTGTAAGACTTCGAAAAGGGTTTGCTCCATACACCAATTTAGTCACAAGAGGGGACGATATTCCATACGGAATGTTTGCCACAACAAGATCGAACTGAGGAAATTGTGCCTTCAATGCATCCTCACATATAATCTGCAAAAACCCACTATCCAATAAGTCATCATCCACCATTGAAAAAACAAAATATGTTCTTTCAAGAATTTCACCAATTTCATCAAACACTTAACAGTCAATGTCACTTACCTCCAGCTTATCTTTAAACCCCAATTCAGAAACCCGTTTATGAAGAATCTCTACCATTCGTTTATCAACTTCAACAGCAAAAACCTTTTTAGCGACCTCGAGAAGCCTAAGAGTGAGATTACCGGTGCCGGGTCCAATCTCTAGAACAGTATCAGTTGAAATTATCGAAGATTTACGAACAATTGTATCAAGAACACGTGGATTAGTGAGGAGATGTTGGCCTCTGCTTTTGTCTAGATACAAATTTCCTCCCAAATCTTTCTCTCCATTGCCTCCTGTACCAGGATAAGAATGGTTAGGCTTCGTTCGAAACTGTCGTAGAGAATTTTGATTGAAAATAGATTGAATATGACAGAATGGAAGTGTTTTTAGCTTGGAAAGCAGCTGATTTTTCAACTGGCAATTCATGGAAAAGGTAAAAAATTTTCCAATGTCTGTTGCAATGGACGTGAGGGAAAAAAGGGAATAAGAAAGAAGATGGAGCCAGAAACTGTTCTAATTCAAATTATATTCAGATCAAAAGAAAAACGACGAGTCGTTTGTAGGGTATAAAAGCCACAATGTAGATTGTAGGTAAGTATTTTCCGAGAGGGACAGAGAATAGAAGGGATTACGAAGCAAAAGCCGCTGTCTCCTCCTCCCCAAATCAAAGTCGCCGTCGCCGGAGAATCTGTTATTGCAATAAAGAAGCTCCGTTCAACCTTATTTTTCCGGTAAACCGAAAAAAAAAGCGAAATCCCGAACTCTGAATCCGTAGAAGCCTATCGCCGATTTCCATTTTAAACTGTCGATCCTATACAAAAAATCCCTCCCTTGCCGTTGCCAATGGTCAGTTAATGTGGACGTTTGTTATGAGATTAATTGGTCGTCAATGTCATCTTTGGCAGTAAAACCAGTAATTCTTGAACCGCGATCCGGAATATCTAAGCAGCCTGCGTGCCCGTGGTGGTTGCTGATAGTTTAATCATCGGCGAAAGAAAATTTGGTGACTGCCACCGGCTACCCCCAACGGTCATGATATCAACGGTGCTTCAGCTACACTAGCCGGAAAGGTGACCAATCTCTTGAAACTTTGTTTCTCTTAAAATTTTCGAACTTTTTAATCAACAGGTGAAGCTGAACCAGCAAAGAGATTATCTTCAAACACTTGAAGTATTACTATTTTTGCTGCAGGTCTCTGATTGGTTGAGCTTTACTGAAAGACATTATTCAAAATCAAAAGAAACCTCAATTCTTGTTCTAATAATGGGGCTACTCAGCATCATCCGAAAAATCAAGAGAAAAGAGAAGGAAATGCGTATACTGATGGTGTATGTATCTATCCAATTCTGTGTCTTTAGCCTTTTCCCTCTGACCTCTACTAATACATAAACACATGTTCTTTATGCTGTATGATATGCAGGGGCCTTGATAATTCTGGAAAGACGACAATTGTTTTGAAGCAGCATCAGTCCTACTCTTGGTTTTAATATCAAGACTCTCACTTTCCAAAAGTAAGATTTAGTTTTCACTTCTCAGTACATATTTATTTTTGTTTTCACAAATAGATTTTATTTTGCACTTTTTATCAAGATTTTATTGGGTTATTTAGTTGCTTAGTAAGTTTCATGCTGAACATTATTTGCAAATTAAGTATAAAGTTTCACCTGAATATTCCACTGTCTTTTGCCTTCTTCTAGTAGAAATGGTGCTATTTTTTTTTTTTTTCTTTTCCTGTTGTTGTGTTATAGAATCAACTGAATGTTGGATGATGTTTCTTAAATTAGAATTTGAATTGCTAGCACTTTTTATTACAATGCAAGATTTTCAAACTTGTTATGTGGCAGGTACACCTTGAATATATGGGATGTTGGGGGACAAAGAACTATAAGATCGTATTGGAGGAACTACTTTGAGCAAACTGATGGCTTGGTATGGGTAGTTGACAGTTCGGATCTTAGAAGTTTAGATGATTGCAAAATGGAACTTGATAATCTTTTGAAGGAAGAGGTATATGCCAGCTATATAGCTGTATTTTTTCTTGTTTTAATTGTTTTCCAATATTGCTTCTGTGTTATGTTTTTATTAGTTTAAAGGTGTATTATTGTTTCATTTCTCCTGTTATTGTTCCTGTTTTATTTCATTTCCTTGATATCTTGGTTCATTTGTGCTTTTCTGTTAATTTCTCAATTTATATCTTCATTTGACAGAGGCTGTCTGGAGCATCATTGCTAATATTAGCAAATAAGCAAGATCTAAAGGGTGCACTTAAACCAGATGAAATTGCCAAGGCAAGTGTTCTAGCTGATTTAGTATGGAAAATCTCTTCCAAGCCTGCTTGAAAGAAGTTGTCCTTTTTGTTTTATATTACTACTCTGCCTAGTGTTCGGACATATCATTTACACTCTGCGAAATTGAATATGGAACCTGCATGTTATTTTGGTCATTTGATAATTAAATTTTAGCCCATCCTTGCATTATTTTCCATTTCTTTACAGGGCAATTCACCAATTACCTAGAAATGGTAGACAAAATATAAGAAATGACCATTTTCATATTGTGCCCGATTATTAACTTGATATCTTGATTCAAGTTATTTTGCAAAATTGCTTTAAAAATTGCACATTCGGAACTATTCAATGATTTAGATTGATTTTGCGACACTGTTTCAGTTTCTGATAACGTTTTTGATTCTGTTATTCAAAACCCTGATTAGGAATTTGAACATATAGTTCCCACCATGATACTCTTGCTTTCTAAATTATGCCGTTAAGCATGTCTATTTCAGTTATGCTTGATGACTTTTAGGTACAAGTAAACTGGCTCTTCCTTTTCTACTTTGAATCCAATTTTCTATTATGTTATACATATGCATACAATTTGAAATGGTTTTGGTGGCAATTCTGAAGGTACTAAACCTGGAGAATATGGATAAAACCCGACATTGGAAAATCATGGGTTGTAGCGCATACACAGGAGAGGGACTGCTTCAGGGGTTTGATTGGTTGGTTCAGGACATTGCCTCTCGAATCTACATGCTCCACTAACTCATCTCAATCGTTATCTGAGAAAGAATCTCTATATAATGTTGTTAAGTGTTGTATGGTTGTATACGTAATTTGAATTTGCAATACAATCTCTCTCTAATGAAACAAATTTCCAAGGTAGATAATAGTTACAAGAACTACTCTCCAAACGGAGCAAGTATATAAACTTTTAGGAATAATTGGACTCAGGCCTTTCATTTCAAGCGATATAATTTCGGGTACGTCCGGTAAAATTAATTATAATTGGCAATTGTTAGCTATTGTAGCATTATTGTAGTTATTTGAATATCTAATAGTTGTTTGAGTAGCTAAATGTTATATGAATTAAAATTTTATAAAATGCTATCTTAACCTCTAAAAGTTAATTCAAAAGCTATATTATCGAATATTGTAAAAAATAGCATTTAATATTTTAATTGGTCAAAATACTAAAAGTTACTTAAAAAGTTATTGTGGAATATAGCTTTTACCCATGTATGGCAAAAATGGCATAAAAAATAATATAAAATTTATATTTTAATTCCAAAATAAAAAAAAATAAAATAAAATAAAATTAAAAAAAAAAAAAAAAAAAAAAGTTATTGTGGAATATAGCTTTTACCATTGTATGGAAATGGCATAAAATAATAATAATATTATATTTTAATTTCCAATAAAAATAAAAAAAAAAAAAAAAAAACCATTGTAATACACAAAATTCACCCTAGTTCGATCTAAATTAAAAATTTGGTGCGATACAAGCATAAAATCCAAAAGATTTTTTAATTTCTATGTATTTTAAAATTGCAATTTTATTTCTAAAATTCATTCTTTTTTCCGGGATATTAGAAATTGATTAACTGAAATAGTAAGAATTAATATGTTAATTGTGACAAAAACAAGAATTGTTTTATATCTATACTATATATATAAATATGGGACTAAAATAGAATAATGGAATATTCGATAGCAAGATAACTGTAATAATGATCAATTAATAAAATATATTTTATTATTTGATTGGACATAATTTATGAAATTATTTATTAAAAGTAAATACGTATAGATAATTAAACATTTTGAAATTTTAAGTTTTATCTTTTTAAAATTTATTTTTTAATAAATAAATATATATGATAATGATACATTTAAAAGTTTTTATATTTTATTTTGCAAATTTATTTTTTAAATATGTGATTATATTTTTATTATAATTTACAATATTTTTTATGTAGGAAAGAGATAAAAAAAAAAGAAAAATATATATTTTTTATAATTTCTTTTTTCTTTATATTTCTATAATTTGATTGAATATATGTTTTAAAAAATGAATTTTAAAATAGAATATACATCACTAAACTATATTTATACGTAGTATTTAATAATAAAAAAATCATGAGATATCCTAAATGGGCCATCTTCGTTTCACAACAAGCAACAGCCTTAGCTAGGTTGTTCATCCCACGAGATCAACTTGCCCCGATGTGTACGGTCTATTAAATGCACATTAGTCCACATAAAATTGACACTTCCCTAATCTTATTGAATACATAAAATTCAAAAAAATCTTATAATACACGTAACTTTTTTTTCATATATTAAAATCTTTAACTTATAAAATTGAATCTGTTAAATATTTTATTTTATCCATTAAATATCTCAGTTTATAATTTAAATCGATTAAATAATTACTAAATAATTAAAAATATAAAAATTATTATTCTAAAAATTATGTTAACCACAAAGCGAATTAATATTTTTTGTATATAAAAATCAAAAACCTTAAAAATTATTGTGTTTAGTGTAAGGAGGTGTGAGACTATTACAAAGATGAAGCTTGGGATGCCACAAAATCGTTAGGATTTTTGTCAAAGTTTATAAGTTAAATTATGTACTCAGCCCCTTAATTTTATCTCCATCAAATTGTATAATGTTTTTTTTTTTTTTTTTATCTCCATCAAATTGTATAAGGTTTTTTTTTGTGTCTTTTTGTGTATATGATGCAAATAGTTTTTTAAGAAAACATAAGGTTTATAGGGCCTTACGTAATTTAAATTTTTATATATCAAAGGCATTGTAGTGTAGCATGTCTGTAGTCGAGTACGATGATTTCTAAATCGCTCTAGCTTTGATACCTCTTAAAAAAAAAAAAAAAAAAAAAAAAAAGGAAGACTTTCTTAATTCATTGAGTAAAACCTAAACTCAAAAATAAAGTTTAGTACCAAATAAGAGTGTTAAAATCTAAATCTTCTTTTCCTGATATTAAAGAATTAGAAAAGAGAGAATTTTTAAATAGTCCTGGAGTTTTTGGTCAAATTTAAATTACTTGTCACTCTTATATTTTAGTAAATATATTACCTAGTCCTATATGTTGTTTAAAATTATATTAAATGGTTTAAATACATTTCGTCATATTATTTAACATGGGTTACCATTAATTATTATTGAAAAAAGGACAAATAATGTCCCCTTAAACAAAACATGGGCCCAAATCCCTTAAATTTTCAACTCTCTTATTCGTCTTCTCTAATCCGTTATATTTGAGCTGGCAAGCCTCCTCTCCTCCCTCAATTGGCTCCTCCAAGTGACTTGAAAGTAGGGGAAGAGGGGGAAACAAACAAGCATTTAAAAAAAAAAAAAGAACAGAAGGCACATGAAAAAAAACATGAGAAGGGCAGAAAGATGGGAGATAAGGTGGGTACAATCAACTACTACTGTCGTGGACTGCTGAAAACTATATGATAAGGTTGATAGCGGTTTAAGCTTTTTCGCGACAACTTTTGTGCTGATGTTGGATTTCCAGTTTGTGGCGTATCAAACACATCTTTTTCAGTTCAACTGAGAAGAAGCCACCCCAAAATTTTGACCTAATCATCTAAACTAAACGCATCCCCTGTTTGCCTTGAAAAGAAAATAAATATTTTTTACGGTTGAAGCCGTAAACTCAATTTGATGCGTAATATTATTTTTGGAAATATAAAATTTAAGATTTTCAGATAATTGTCCATGAAATACATAGTATAAAAAAAAATGGACGCGAAAGAAGCATTAGTCACTTAGTAATAATATTACAAAGTACAAGGTGATTTGAAAAATAAAAAAAAGAACAGGACTTCTCGCTTCTGTTTTGTCAGCTTGGATGTTACCAACCTTCTTCAGCTTACACAATGTGTGCTGCTGAGAGAATGGGAAAAGCCCTCACTCGTGTATATAGCTGAGCATCACGATCAAATTCAGTTAACAACCAATAAGGAAGAAATGTCAATTCAGGTCAAACAACATCTCATGGTCTGCTGAGGGAGAGAGAAAGCACCGTCACTACTTTTAACTGCATCACGTAGCGACAATTCATAACAACCTATGAAGAAATTCATTCGGTTTCAAACAAACACAAAGTATCAGAAGAAATAGAATATGGTAATTATTATTAAATAGTCAATTATAAGGATTTAGGAAACTGCATCACGTGCAATTCATAACAACCTATAAGAAATTCATTCGTCAAACAACACAAATATCAAAATGAAATGAAATATTATTAAAAGTCATTATAGATTTAGGTTCAATAATTTTAAAAATGTCTTCCATTCCTGGAATTTCATAGAAAACCCAAAAGAAAGTTTAGTATGAATGAATTTAAAACGTAAAATTTATTTATAAATCAATTTAAATAAAATTCATTTATAAATATATTTTTTATATTTAAAATTAAAAATTCATTTACTTTTATTTCTAAAATACTCTTAGACATAATAATTTAAAAATATTAAGAGGAAACTCGTGAAAGTCATTTGGAAATTTCACATTTTTTTATAGAAATTGATTTAATTATATTTAAATACATAAAATTGAATTCGTAGAATTTAACTTATAATTATATTTCTATAGCAAACACAAAATTCTGTAGAATACAGTATTTCAAAGGAGGGATAAGAATATAAAATTTTGGTATTTGGTTGTTAGATGAATGTTATACTTCCAAGAATGTTGCTATATTTTTTGTAAATTAATTAAACACGAGTATCATATTTTTTAAAAAAAATGAATTTTTTTTACATCCAATAAACATAATACTTCGGCACTTAATTTTCTTTTTTAAATTTATTATCCAAAAAGCAATTTTTTTAAGGATAATATTATGTTTCCAACAAATGAATTATGTATGTAAAATTTATTTGTAAATGAATTTATTATTTTGGTATGCTATAATTTAAAATAAGAAATTCAATTAAATTCTATAAAATTATATTTGGGATAAGTTCTTAATGAAAATTCATTTGTCTTTATTTTCTAAATAATATTGACATAATAATTTAACAAAACAAATAATAAATACCAATATAATAACTTGTTATTTTTTATTAAAATATAAATAATAAATTTCATATAAATAAATTGAAACATCCCGAATTTTTATTTTCGAAACTTTCGAATTTTTATTAAATTGAAAATCTCGATTTTCAACTATATGGGCTATAAATACTGTCGAATTTTTATTAAGTGAAAATGCTCGATTTCAACTATATGGGGCTATAAATACCAAATACAATTTCATTTGAGCCCAAAAGTTCTCTCATGAGTTGGGCCAAGCCCAAATAAAATGTCGAAAATTTGAAGATCTGCGATAAAACAGATAGATATTTTAGAAGGCAATACATATGAAACCCCCGTAATTTAACTACTAGTGAATATATAAAAGATTAATTATCCTAATTGAAAATCAAAATACTGCTTTAGTATGATTGTTATTATTTGAAGTTAAAATTGAGGGAAAAATGTTTCTATAGAAGCCGTAACCAAAACAATTTAAAGAGTAAGAATTCAACTCAGACCAAGAAATACTGAATTAATATCTTTTTGAAACTGTCGTGTGTGTGTCAAATTTTACTGGAAATCAGACCAAACGCCGGGTTCGAAAATCCGAAGGACCGGAATTAATCCTTAGAAAACGTGAGTGGTTAGTTTGTAAAATGTTTTCTTGCCTCTCTTCGCTCTTCCTGTTTCACTTCCGTTTTGGTGTGTTCCTCGTTCGTGACGTGGGTTGAGTAGACACTGCCACTGGAGTACTGAAAGTATTCACAACGTCAGATCTTCCTGTGACATTTTATTTTCGGGCAATGGGGTCCTGCTGGTGCACTATCTGTTTTCGGTGGGTCGCGGCTGAGTGTATAATGGTCATGTATATTGATGTGGTGTGGGTTCATCAGTATATACTAGGATCATTTATCCTGGGACTGTATATTGTTGTGTTGGTAATA